ATTCTGTCACTTTTGAGGCATTTCAAAGATTAAAAAGAACCTCTCTCTTTTCAACGTCCCTAAAAGCATCCTCCCTCGTTTTTTTCTTCTTCAGTGAAATGTGATTAGTGGAAGATGGTGTCACGCAATGGAACATTCATGAGGGGGAGAACAAATATCCAAATGAACTCCCCATGTCCTCGAGGAATAGCTCCTCTCTGCACCATCAGCAATCTCTGTCTCTCTCACATGATGCTGGGGTGGGGAAGGAAATTTGATTGATCCTCTATTGAATTATTTTTTTGCACTCTTTCATTTCAACGGGACGCACTGACAAGTTGTTTGATCATAAAGCATTATTGTCTGCCAAGTCACATTTCAGGGTTGTGATGGCTAATGATCTTGCCTCCTGACTTAGGGGAAAGTCAGGTAGTCAGCATGTGTTTGAAGCTCGCAACGCCAAGGACATCGGGAGGACTGAGCAAAACACGGCTACATTAAAGTGAGAAAGATGAAGAGAAGGAGCTCCAGTCGAACACGTGGAACTTTTAATGATACTGTACGGAGGTGCCGTCAATGTCAGGGAAATATTTACGTTGCAATATTGATGCCAGAAGTTTTACCTGACCCAAAGTCCCCCGACCCTCCCTTTTCATCACTATGACTGCATATGCAAAGAAGGAACAGAACAAAGACTACAAAGGCTAAAAATCCCTCTTTTTGGTCTTTTTCATCTTTTCTTTTACAACTTTACCTCCCCCCCCCCGTCTTTATGTGAGCCCGTCAGTGTCCACTGTTCCTTTACTCAGAGCTGATCTTCGTCCAGTAGATTGTATCCTGGGTCCACACAGAGCAACAGCATTAAAGCTTATCAGCTGGACATGTACAGACAGGGGTAAATTACCTCTGTCCACTGTAGTCGCACTAGTGCATCATGGATCAGAGACAAAGAGCAGCTATTAAAGGATGCGCCTCTAGGTGACATAATACACCAAAGCATTCCATCCAAGCTTTAAAGGACATTACAGATGTATCTCCTGTTGGGCCAACAAGTGTAGATAACATTCACAAGGAAAGAGCCAATATCACATTTCCAATGATTCTTCCGCTTTTAAAAGTATGGGTTACAGAATCAGTTTACATACAGTTGTTTCCTCTGACTGTCCTGTCAGGTCTTTTTTATCTCATTGTTATAGAAACATTTAACTGGATCTTTTTTTTTTTTTTTTACTGAAGCATAAACACATAAAAAAGGAAAATCAAGTACATAATTTACATTTTATGAAATTATTGTTTTAACAAAATCCCTACTTACACACTATAATATTTCCTATAGAATAAATCACCAAATATACTTATATTACAGTTTTCAGATACTATGTATTTATAAATTCATACAACTTTGTTTTTTTTTAGCTCTTTTTGCCATTTGAAATCAAAAGAAAGGCATTTAAGGAAGAAAAATCTCTCCTACCTTCATAATTTAGAAAAAAGTTACAAGAATATCGCCATCTGTCTGAACTGCTTCCCACCACAGACAGTGAGGATTATGATAAGGAAGGAAAAAAGTGGGGTTACCAATCTCTATAACAACCATTAGAAACTTTAAAATACCAAATAGTTGTTAAGGGGTAAAAAGCCTTTTCAGGCCTACTAAAAAAAACTAAAACATGTGGTCCTTGTTTAAGTTTACATGAATTCTGACTAGAACAAGCTGCTTTGGTTGCATGAGGTACAGAAAAGGTGACTAAATAGACTAGATATCAATATTTAGAAAATCTCCAACAGTACAGGATATGTATTGCTGCAGACTTTAATTTCTTAAAATACTGCAAGGTTTTACATTAAATTCTGCTGACTCCTCCGAAAGTCCTAGATACAAAGTCTATAGAAAACCTGCTGCAACTGAAGAAAATTGAGATCATTCAGGCCAACCTCATGAGGAATGGTACAACAACCCTATGTCTGTCCATTCTCACCTAATAAAAGATATTAGTGGCTAAATGTTTATTAAAAGGGTTGGACTAAGTATTACAGGCATAATGTGACACAATTATGCTCTGCTGTTAAATTGTATTTCCTCACTGGGTGCATTTGAAAAAAAGAATACAGTGAGATTATACTATAAAAAAATGTATTAAGGATTTCTCTACTTGCTTTCCAGGATTGCCAACATTAATGCAATGGTATTGTTGAAACTCCTTCAATTCATCATACATGTAGTACATATGGCTTGCGTTTTAAACACCTTTTCCCAGAGGAAATCCGGCGATATCCAGTGTTTGTTGTCCAAAGAGTGAGTTTACAACCAAAAAGGCTTCCGAACCTTTCAAATTTTCCCCTTGTTTGTCAGCTACCTGCTGTTTCACTAGACAGAGGCTTGTCGGAAGTTATCACCGCAGACTTGCCTTTTCAAACAATTCAATTAATCACTTGTAAGGCAACATTTAGGAGTCTGCTTGCCTTTTTTTTTTTACCCCTCTCTCACACATTCTCTTAGCTCCTTTTTTTTTCTTTCCAGGCAAAATTTGGATGGAAAAAGGACCCAGGTTTTAACAGAAAGAAAACACCATCTGGTTATTCTCAACCGAGCGACACAAGTTTAGAAATGGTCCTTTTCCTATTCAACAACAAACAGCCTTTGTCCTTCATCAGCAGAGACGGCATGAAAAAGAAGAGACACGATCACAGGATATGAGCGATGAGACATTATAGCGACTGTCTCGGAGGTGTCTGGCTATTTAAATAGTCTCCATATGAGCCGAGGCTCTGCATCCTTCCTCTGCACCCGCCGAGCTCTCTTCTAAGAGTGCATTGCAAGAGATTAATTTAATGCTCTGCCAGGATCATAAAGATCAAACAAGTGGAGAGATATCATTAAACCACTGGAATGTTATCTCATTTATCTAAACAAACCGATGCGATGAACAAGCCTAATTAAAAAAGCTCACCATAAACAAAGCTGCGGATGGTGAGGCCCTTTTTTCCCTCTTTAACAGTGCAGCACATTTATTTTATTAATCTAATGCATCGTGTATCATATCATTACAGTTCAATATTTCTATCATTAATTTTATTCCCTTCACTTAAAGCTTTTATTGGAATTACTTTGGTTATTAGTTGGTTCTAATGTATTGGTTACCTCTGTATCTTGCAGCTACAATCTCTCTTATCTCGCTGCATAAACCTGTGCATGTTATTCAAATTGCCTCATTTATTATGATAGCTTCCTCATGTAAATTGTGCTGACTGCTCGCCCTTGCACAGTCCTCATTAGACTAATGAAAACCTTCAAACGAAAAAACTAAACAACCTGCCAAATAAAGGTCCGGGGTTATTATGAAAATTACAACTGTTGGAGCCGGGAGAAGCTCTCTTCATTAATTCATGCTCAGCAAATTGGTAACTAATTTAGTTGCACTCCTCTGCATTAATGGGTTATTTTATAAAAATGTTTTTCCACAGCCAGAGACCTCTGGTGCGCACTCCGGAGAGCTCAGAATCCTAATCAAGTCCGGCGACATATTAGGAATTGACAATCTGAACGATAATACAGCGGGTGTTTGTGAGCAGACGCACACAGGTCAACTAGCTAGAACAGCCGGGGATTGTGTGTTGGGTCATTTGCTGTTTTTCTGTTGATGTTTTTTTTTCTTTTCTAGCACTGCAGAGAAATGACTGTCATTTTTACTGATTATCCTGGTATGGAGAATACACTTCAGCTGAGATTTGAGAAAACATTCAGCAGATTGCAGGTACTTGGTTAAACACCCTTCTCCTGGCTTTGTTTGCCTTCCTCTTTTGTTCTTGCGAATCTCCTCTCCCTCTTTTCACACCCGTTCACACACAGTTAGATGGTTTGTGACCTATAAATTCAGCTCATGATCCTGCTAATTATTACTATTCACTGCTTCACACCCCGTGTGTGAAGGTCTAACACGGATCCTCACGTCAGCCCGGCCATCAGGGAGCATACAGTCCGATGATTTCCACAGTGGTTTTAAAATCATTATCAGCTGCATCACGCAGAACAACACAGTGAGCCAACTGGGAATATTGAAATCTATTATTTGCTTCAATTTGTAATTAATCTACAGTGCTTAGAAATGTTTATATCTGGATGGTCTAATTGCTTTTAACAAAATAATGAAATAAAAACAATACATTGAAGAAAAAAGGCTTTTCCTCCTCTTTTGTTCCCTTGAAATTCAGTTAAGTAAGTCGTTAGTTTCAAAAGTCATTGTTATTCTACAAATACAAACATTTGAACCAGAATGGATTGATTTGGTCAGATGAGACAAAGTTTAAACTTTTGGGCACCAAACACATGATTCTGGCATGAAACAAAATATGCAGATTGTGCAGGATGTGTTTAGTACCTTTAGGCCCACTGTTAGGTACGGTGGAAGATCTATTAGACTGGGGGTCTGTCTCTTTCAAAGGTATTTGAAACCTTTTTAGATAAGCTTGTACTGTTTATTCTTTTTTATTTCACATTTTTGTTATTTTGTTATTCCTTTATTATTGTTGTTAGGACAAAAGAATAATCTTGAAGAATTTGCAGTAGTTCTAATTACTTTTTACACAAATAATTACAAATGATTAAACTAACCGGATCATGGATAATTTAGTAGGGATATCTTTTTTATTAATATTTGGACTGTGAGAGGAACCTGGAATACAAGTAAAAAACTAATAAAAACGTCCCATAGGGAGGCCCTGGCTGGGTTTTTGATGTTGGATCTCATGCTTTGTGTTATGAACAGATGGTGGAGCCGTCATGTGTAACTTAAAGTCAGCGGTTTTTGTCAGTAAAGATTGAGCTTTCAGCAACCAATGCTCCAAGGGGTTTGAAACACAGGATGAATATGTGGAAAAGCGCCTTATGTTACCTGGTGATGGAACCGTAATGCTCTGGGCCTGTTATTCAAAGACCCTGCGGAAACTGTCACAAGGCATGACAACCACAGTGGTAGATGACATTCCTAAGTCACAGTTTTTGCTAATAAAGTTTAATTTACCTTTGTCAGCATGCATCCTTTTCACTTCATGGCTCATGTCATGGGCCAGGTCGCCCTCTTTTGGCCCAGGGGCGATGTTGGGGGACAGGCCTAGAAGGGCTTGGTTCATTGACAGCCCATTGTGGTGTGCTGCTGCAGAAAGATCACAAAGTTTTAAAAAAGAACATGTATAACCAACTAAAGCCTGAAAAAAAAAAAATCACTTCTTTTTATGGTATATTGCTATGTTTTAGGTAACTTACGTATCCTGTCTGAAGAGCTTTCTGTGTGGGCTGGGGAGCTGGACACGCTGCTGCTGCGGTGGGATGATGGGTGACTACCAGGCCTTCTGTTGTCATCTAAGGAAGGAGCAGGGGATGGACTGTCTGGCACACGTTCCTGCAACCCCAGCATCCACAAACATACAAATCCAAAATAAAAATCTGATGCAGATGAAGACTAAAACCACAATATGTGGTAAAAAAAAAATCTTTGTTTTAAAATTTACCTTTATAACAGAAGTGACCATTCTAGAAGGCAGACTCTGGCCCTGGGCTGCAGCAGCCATATTCGCAATGGTGCTGAGGTGGTTCATCTGGCTCATCGCCATGGTGACAGAGGCTGGGGGCAGGCTGACTGGGATCAGTGGGTGTGGCATCATCATGAAGGGGAGTTCCAGACCTGAGACACATGAAGAGGCTGTTGGTTACTCAATGATGCATATCATGAGTGAGATAGTCACAGGGGAGGATCTAGTGGTGCTCTGGCAGAAAAACTCCACACATGCTGAAGGTAATTAAGCTGTCAGCTTTGAGACACCTTTTAAAAGTGGTGTCCTATGACAGTAAAGCTTTACAATATAAAGGTGGCTTATGTCCACTGCAATGTATGGTAGAGGATCTCTGATGCTGTGGGCTTCCTAGACTTTGAAAGGCCAGGAGAAACTTGTTAAAACTCATGTTTGATGGGACTTAATCTCTGCACTGCCATTCATCGTTAAAAGCTTTAAAGAGCACCTAATGTCCAGTCTTTTAAGTAGGGTTATGCTCCGGGCCAGTTTTTTTTTCAGAAAGCTGTTGGAACCATGTAAAACTGTTAAAACCTAACAACGCCATCAAACTGAATAAGCATGGATACATTTCAGCTAATTACTGCATGTCATGTTAACAGAGTACCTAGTAGTAGTTTACTATATATTAATAATAAATACTGCTTTGATAATAATATTAAAGGAAATGGGGATAGGGATGAAACTTTATAAACTGATATTTGCAGTTAATATACATAACTTATTCAACAGTGAATAAAAAACAGGCACATTATGGAAATTGGCCCAATATTTACATGAAAAAATATCTCTTTAAAAACAAGGGCAATCTTAAAAGCCATTACCCAAATGACTTGCTAAATGTGCAAATGACACATACTGTTAGACTACAGTGTGGCAATGACTTCAGGCCAATTATCCCCATACCAGGGGTATAGAAACAGACCAAAAAGGGTTTAGATCGCACACTGAAAGGATTTTCATTTCCTTTCATATGTGCACAAATTAATCCATTACAAAGTACAAGATATCTTACAAATATTTTAAATTATTCATCTGCTGCCTGGCATTTGTCGCCCTAATTGGGAAAAACTGAAGACATTAGCAGTGTGAGAATGTAAAGAATGTCTATTAAAGAAACCATACGGGGGATAAGGAGCTAGTCAAACAGCCCTGTACTAGTGCTTGTGAGCGGCTTAATGAAAACAAGGCGACTTTCAAAGGACGCGAGAGCAGACAGAAGGTCAAAGCTAGGTGTCTGTGCCTCCCCGCTCAACCATCGCACCCTTCTCTCCTTCCCCTCCTCGGCTCTTCTCTGGGACTTTGAACTGAGGGGGATCAAAAGTGACTGAAAAACATTTTGGTCTCGTTCCTCCACCACTCAGAGGCTTCTCCTCAAAACTGTTTGAAAGAAAAAAAGAAAACAACCTCATAGATGCTACTGGATCTGATTGAGCCTCCTTGTTGATTTTTTTTTTTTTCACTCCTTTTTTTCTGCCCTTCTTTGGCAGCCCTGTTCAAGGTAAAAAATAAAAAGAAAGAAAAAACTAACAAAAAAGACAGAAAGTAAAGAAAATCAGCATGAAAGAAAAAAACATGATAGCGCACTTCAGAACGCCGTCCACAAAACAACTCCAGTTCTTTTTTGTACCAAACATCAGTAGCCAAAGGGCAAGGAGATCTGCATGGCAAAGCCTCTAAAGAGAAGGACACTGGTTTAAAAATGAAAGGACATGAGAAGTACTACTCTCTGTCATTCCACCTCCTTCCAAAAGAAGCATTGATTTCCATAAGAAAGATAGCATGCAGTTTCTCAGTGGTGAGTATTCCCAAACAATATAGAGCAAAAGGGGGAGATTAAAGAGAGGCGGAAGCCAAGCAGCACCTTGTAGCAGCGCCTCCGCCGAAACTCAGACTGAATCAATTACCGCTCAGCAGGCTAAGCTCAATTAAAAAACACCACAGAGGGCCCTGATTGTGCGGGTACTTACTGCAGGACAACATGGTAAGGTCTCAGCTACCTATCAGGCTTTCAAGGCCACTCAAAGGCCAGAGTGAAGAGACTTATTTTGCCTTTGAGGTGGATGTATTACATCCATTCAATCAGGCACTGCGACTCCCATTAGGAAAGATTTTCAACTTATTAAAAAGTAATGGAAAAGCCACTGAAAATAACACAAAGGTGCTCCCTTCTACTGTAATAACTTTCCTCAACTTTATCTCCGTGTCATTCCTCATACTTGACGGCATATGAAATCTCACATCTCCACCTGACTGAAGGCCTTTTGCAAAAAAAAAACAAACACAGGACCTCTGTTTGCTCTAAAGAAGGGGTATTAGTCTCGCTTTCAGCACCAACCCAGCCCCTTTCTTGTCACCTCTTCCCAAAGCGGTGTTTCTCTCATAAAGACCCATTCAAGCTGCAGCAAGAGAATGTGCCACAAACTTAACAAGGCTCCGCCAAATCCTTTAGTTTGTGAGTGAAAAGCGCCAGGTGAGGAGGAGATTCATTTATCCATGAAATCCGGTGTTTTTCTTGCCACAACATTGAGTGTCATTTATATTTAGGATCCTTCTTTTTGTGCTGTAGTCTCAAAGCAGGCTTTTCTTTTTCCCTTCTAAAGAAATTAACAAATGTAATCCTATATATGTTATTAGCACCCCAAATAAAAGCCATGTTTAAAATAATTCAGAGAGAAAAAGATGCAATATAATTTAAGACCTTGTTAAGGAGAACTTGACCCTAGATTAACTTTCATAAACTGTATTAATCTGGCCTCAAAAAGTTATAAGAAATTTACATTCAAATTGTAAATGTAAATTATTTTTCATTTGTCCCCCTAGGATGAAAGAAGTATTCTCTACAAACCAATCATTCTTATCCATCAACAACATATTGGTTGAGCTATTCTTTCAAAACTAGAGCAGTGGCAATTTCTCATTGAATTTTAGGGAGGTTACACCTTTTATAAAAATTTATAAAATAAATTTTATGAAAGTATCAGTGAAATATGCATTGATAAATTTTAAAAATGTAGTCATTAAACTGAATTAAATGTGTGCTAAATGCGCTCATTTTTACAAGTATCTTGACTAGAAATCAGCCGTTGAGCTCGCTCTAGGAAGCTATCTCCCCTCTGCTCATGAACAGTCTCTGAGAAATTCCAGTTGAAGCTTGAGCCTCTGTGCATTGAAGCAATCAGCTAGAGAGTGGAGACTGATTGGATAATGTGCAAAATCCCTCACTTCCAGTGAGGCTAAGCCTTTTATAGGGTCTATGGATCAGGGGGCGGGTCATGAAGCTGACTGCTCGATGCTGATTGGCCAAACAAGCTAAAAGATTTGACTAAAATTGGACAGACAGATGGGAGGGTTTTTTTGATGAAAGAGGAAAAATAATTCACTCAGAACACCCCTCTTGTACTGAACTCTTACTAAGGTCTGGACTTTATTATTTGTGAGTGCTTCGCAACAGCTTTTTTAACCTATTGTAGAACCATAAATAATCTGTACAATAACAAGGAAGCCGAAGCATTCTTCAAACCTATTTCCAAATCACCTTACTGAGGCTAAGTTATTTTCACTTTTCTTCAATTTAGCTGCTCCATGTACCAGTCTCTCCTGACTTGGCAACTCTTTGAAGGGGGATTGGGTTGGGGAGGAGAGGTCTGTTCGATTCCTTTGATGTTCCAATTATACACAGTAGGTGTCGTTATTACTTTTGTAACATATAGGTCCTTTTAGGGTGTTTTTTAATCTTTCTATGCAAATCTTGACATTTTTGTTCTGCAACACATGAGCTAAATCTATCTAAGTGATGACCTCCATGTGTTGAAAAATGGCTACTAAAGTGGAATGTTCCTATTGGTTGAAACAGTAAAACAGTAAAATGTATACATCATAGCCCAGGTTTATACTTAAACCTGGGCTATGATGTATACATTGTAGTTTAATCTACCTTGGAACTAACTGGAAAGTTGGAGTGGCGTAATCTCCGAGGTGATAACGTCCCAACTTCCTGCTTCTGGATGAAAATATTTCTACTTGTTTTATAAGGCTACTGTAGCCTACTGTGTGTCCAGCCATAACAATGACAACCATACAGTTTCATGTGGTATTACCAGGTTCAAATGGAACACAACATAAACTTAAGACACATGCAGGTGAAGCAAATCGGAGGTTGGAATTGCCATCGCTTATTGATAGGACTTTTAGGTGAGCATTTGCGTAGCATTTTTTATTTTAGCTTATTAAATTATTTAGTCCCACTATACCAAATTCAGTGTCCTTTCTCATCATCCTTACCACATCCCCGCTTAACCACCTCCACTCATCACCATACTTGGCTATGCCCTTAACACATGGTGGCATTTTTAGAACATTTTCTTGGATTGAGGTTAGGGTTTTACATCTGCTTTAGTTACAGTACACTTTAAGACCATTTTAAATAAAATTTGAAGCATTGTATCATGACATACAGAATACAGACAACATTCTGCATAGATGAATGGTCAAATCTCTCTCTATATATGCTTAAGCCACATAAGATATGCTGTCCTACTAGCAAAACACAGCTGTACTTGTAAAACAGGGGTGTCAAAAAGGGTGCTCCTGCTGATTTTGCTTAGCACCATTCTTTCCTAACACTTCTTAATATTTTCACCTCCTCTGAATAATTCACTAAACCTAAAGGTTGTATTCTAAATTTAAAATTTGTAGGTGTTAAATTATGCAACCGCAATGAAGAAAAGGTTTATTTTAAGCTTCTGGTCTCTGATATTAAAGTTTGGACTTGATTAGCTGAATTCTAACAACATTCACCCTCCCTATATTCTCAGCCCACCATCTCGCCTGTAGGGCATAAACAATGTATTTGTAGTAATTTACCTGAAGTAAGCCTGAGGGAGCCCACAAAGGTGAACTCCTATTTACCATCATTAAAACTACAAATCGCTTAATACCAATATAAACAGCTCAGCTATTATGTTGTGCCGTGCTTTGTGAGTTCATGCATGGATAAGCAAAGATCCGAATCGCAAAGGATGTATTGGATGAATTAAAACCGCCCTGAGTACCAGTATGAATAAAAAGCTGTTACATCAGACCTTTTTGAAACTTCCAGTTGTTTAACATA